TGGCTCAGTCTGTTAAGCATCCAACTTTGGCTCAGGTCATGATCCCACAGCTGGTGGGTTTGAGCCCCACATCAGGCTCTGTGCTGATAGCTCAGCAATCAATGAAGTGGTGCGTTTAGCTGAACTCCTTGGAGGCCAGTCCATCCGTGGATGCTGTCTGGGCAACTGTTACTGAACCTGGCACCATACCACGTGCTGTGTGTATTGGCTGTCAGTAAGCTTTGCCACCACCTGGATGGGGCCAGTGTGCCCTCATCCCATTGTATATGGGCAGCAAGGTTCATGATTACCATGCCATGGTAGCCAGCTTGTAAAGTGGCAGAGCTGATCAGTCCTCTCAAGCTCTGCCAATGTAAGCTGAAATACCTGCTCTCAGTTACCTGTCTGGCAAAATGGGGATATTTCACCTGCCTGTTGGATGTATTATAAACCCTAAGCAAATGGTAACATGAAAGCACTAAGTTTTGCTGGGCACCCAGTTCTGGTTTGATAAATGGTGTGACTATGATACTGAGCACTGTCCCTTCCACGTTCCTTCCCTACTGTGTGTCTCAAAAGGATACAGCCTCCTCCTGGGCCTCACCCTCTTTTCTCCAGAGCAGCTGGGGCCGTACCTGCTCCAACCAAGGAGATACTTTAGTCAAAAGTAAGGTCTTGGTGGGGCCTTCCCCAGGCCAAGCATGAAAGCTAACCTGGCCCGACTGGCAGTGTCTTTGCAGAGCTGCAGCATCCTCAGCTGTCCTGCCACTGCAGTCACCTCCCACCGCGTGTTAATTAAGCCCACAGCATCTAGTGTAAGCAAATATGTAAAAAAGGCATTATCTTTCTTCAGTCTCTGTTTGTCCTTGCCTATCATAAGTAATTAAAATAATGAATGCCTTGTAAAACAATAGTTAAGAGGGCTGGCAAGGGCATCATAGCAATATCGTCTTGGCTCCTGATTAATGCATTGAAAACCACTGTGACTGGGAGACTCCCTGCACCTGCCGAGCCCTTTTCCCGCAGGTTCTCAGCCAGGTCCCAAGGCCTGCGCGGGGTGGCTGTGAGCCCCTGAGCCTCAGGGCTGAGGAGCAGCTTGGCCATGTGACCAGCTGACACATTGCGGGGGGGGGGGGGGGTGGGGCTGGCTCAGAGGAGATGCAGGAGCCTCCTGATTGGAGGCTGCCCTGTCCCGACCTCTCCCTTGTCCACCCACATTCTCCCGGTTCTGAAGGTGAAGTTTCTGTCCTGGGTGAAGGGGAGAAGATCCGTCCATTCCCAGATGGGGCAGGGATAGAGATTAAGCCATGCCCGGCGATTCAAGGTGATGGTTCTCCAAGTGGGGTTCCCAGCGTGGGGTGCCAGACTGGCAGCATCAGTGTTCTCTGCGAACTTTTTAGAAATGCAGGTTCTGGCGTGGGGCCCAGCACTCTGTTTTAACAAGGCCTCCAGGTGGTTCTGATGCCCACTTGAACTTGAGAAGCACTGCTTTAAAGTGTCGTGGCTCAAGGAGGCGGAGGTGGTGGGATAATGTGAACTGAGAGAAGTCGTTGTGTGCATCTATGGGGCAAGCCCTCTTGTCCCCATCTTAGAAGTGG